AACATTTTTGGTAAGAAACCCTTAGAAGAAATGGAGTAGCCTTCATAAGCCCTGTTAGACCTGGCATTTTCAAAATATTTACTAAGGACTTCTTGTGATTGTGCATCTAATTTGGCAATGACACAAAAGTGAGCAGGATTGTAATGCTCTAAAGGCAGACACAAAATTCAAAGACTTCTCAATAGATTAAAAAATCACCTGTAGATAATTTCACAGTTGTGACAAAAGAATCCAATCTGACTTTCTTTATGTTAGTTTTTAAAGATGAAAGATTTTTGAATCCTTTCTGGTTCAAACTATAGAGAAATCTCTTTTTTCTTTTCATCCTCACATGCCAATGAGCGTCTTCAAGTAGGTCTGGATTCCTTTTTTACATCTTGATTCTTTTACTTGGAACAGAAGTTGTATTTTATTTTTCTGTGAGGCATTTCTTTTCTTTCATATTTAAATATTTTTATGGCTTTTCTCATTTTTTAATAATGACTTTTGATATTTTTATAATGATTGATTTTATATATTTGCTGTTTTTATTGATTGTTGTACGCTGTCCAGAGTAGCTCATTCACGCTCCAGTTCTTGGCTGCCATCCCACTTTCTTTCTGTCCATGCTTTTTTCAAATAATTCCACTTTTTCTCTGGATTCACTCATAGAGATGGGCCTCTTCCAACGTTAATTTCACGACATTATGCATTTTCTGAGGTAGTTTTTTTTCTGAGGTATGATTTCTAGACCTCTGTGTTTTTCCAGCAGCTTATCCAATTTAATACCTATTTTCTTTCCCTTCATCTCTTTCTTTTTCTCAAGGATCTTAATTTTTCCTACCCCGTTGCTTCACACCGTGGGTCACAGCCACCATCTTAGATCATCATGGCTTCCCGAATCAACACATGGCCCAACTGGCATTTTTATTTACCACAACTTGATTTCATTCTTTATGCCAGACCCTGTGTGTGCAATATTTGGAATACACGGGGGGGAGGGGGTAGACTTTCAGCCATTTTGGCGAAGATTTGGTTCATCCTTGACGCCCTACTGAGTTTCTTCTGACAGCTACAGATCATCCAGAGCTCATATCTTTAAGGAAAATAGTTTTTCTCCTGCATTTTTGATCTTGGTTTAATTTTGACCAGATTCCAGACCCTTCAGATGTTTCATTTCCTTAACATGTTGGTGGTGGAGTTTCTACTCCTCCTTGACAGATATATTTTTACTCCTGTGTTACGTTCTGTGAGGAAAGAGACTCAATTACCCACTTCTCCTGTGTAATTCCACTTCCCACTCCCATCATCCTGGGCCTCGGGAAAATGCATCCCTCCTCCCACCCTCTGCAAGGCCGCTTGAGTTCCCCATCGAAGCCGCCAGGGGGCCCCCTCGGCAAGCCTGGCAGGCTTCGAGCTTCGGGCGAGCAAGGAGCATGCGCCGATCCTTTTGCCCGGAGAGGAGGCGTTGCATTCTGGGAATGTGGGGAGAGGGCGGGGCTGGCCTCTCCAGGGCTCCGCGGTCGTTGCGGCTCGCGAAGGGGCTGCGGGAAATTCTTGCGGGGAGGGGATCTGTCTGGGTGAGTGGGGGGCTCTTCACGGGGGAAACCCCGTGCTGGGACTGCAAGGGGTTCTTGCAAAGTCCTCATTCAGCTTCAGTCTTTTGAATCCTGGGGGGGCGGGGGGCGAGTCCCTGGCCCCATGTTCCCCGGCCGCCTGTTTGCATTTATGTGCCAGGCAGCGGGGAGGCAAACCACCAGACTTGCTGCGTTGCCTCCTGGAGAAAGCCCAGCATCCCCAGGAAGGCGGAGGGGACCTGGGGGAGCCCCTGAGTGGGGAGGGGAGGAGGGAGGGTTTGCATTGCAAAACTCGAGGTTTTCAAGAAGGGAGTTGCCCGGTTGCTTGTTGGTCATTTGTGCTTCAGAATCCAGCCATGGTCTTAGTAGGCTGAGGGACCCAGAACATCGCATTAAGCCAGCGTTGGTCAACCTGAGCGACCTTAAGATCTCTGAACCTCAACTCCCAGAATTCCCCAGCCAGCATGCTTGGACTTCAACTCCCAGAACTCCCTAGCTGCCATGCATTCTGGGAGTTGAAGTCCACACACCTTAAAGTCGCTGAGTTAAGAAACACTGCATTAAACTGTAATCTGATTTATTTGTTTGTGTTTTGCATGTTAAGTGAATCTAGACATCACCCCACTTTAGGTTCATCATGGGTTAACGTTACCTGTGTTAGCGTATAAATGTAAATTTATTATCCAAAAAAGCCGATAGGAATATTTTGTTGGCTTTCAGGAAAAGAAATCCATGAATGTCCTAAATAAAAGTCTGTATACAATATTCTGAATCTTTGAGTGGTAGTTCATTGTGGAGATCCCATTTTGCCTCCCTACCAGTCATGCATATCATTATCTGCTAATTCATTTCCCAGTTTTCCTCCCCAAACATCTGCCCTCTTAGGAAAAAAAAATAGTATAGAAAAAAAATAGAAACCAGGAGACTGTGAGTTCTAGTCCCACCTTAGGCATGAAAGTCGGCTGGGTGACTTTGGGACAGTCACTCTCTCTCAGCCCAACTCACCTCACAGGGTTGTTGCTGTGGGGAAAATAGGAGGAGGAAGGAGTATGAGGTATGTTCGCCCCCTTGAGTTATTTATAACAATAATAAAGGGATAAAAAAATATTTTAAAAAATCTTCCTTTTGATTTTTCATCAGGGGATGGTCTTAAAAAATACAGCTCCTTATTTGTTATTTTGTTTTCTTTTCCTCCTCAGATACATTGGCCCCATTTGGAGAACAGACAGAAAATGGAGGCACAATATGCAGCAGGTGAGGGAGCTGGAAAAGGAAGCTGTGAGAAGATCTGGGCAGGAACTGGGCAGAAGATCCTGGAGGAGAAAACTATGAGTTCAGAAGTCCAGCACTGGCTCTTCAGAAATGTCCACTACCAGGAGGCCAAGGGGCCACGAGAGCTTTGCAGCCATCTCCACCACCTTTGCCATCAGTGGTTGCAGCCAGAAAGACGCACAAAGGCCCAGATGTTGGACCTAGTGATCCTAGAGCAGTTCCTGGCTGTCCTGCCCACAGAAATGGAGAGGTGGGTCCGGGAGTGCGGCGCAGAGACCAGCTCCCAGGCGGTGGCCCTGGCTGAAGGCTTCCTCCTGAGCCAGGCAGAAGAGAAGAGGCAGGAAGAGCTGCAGGTAAGAGAACCTCATATTTGGCATTCTAAAAAGGACATAAAGTACTAAACAATTTTAATTGTTTCATTTGAATTTTGAATGTTTGGACCTCTTTCTGTCACCAACAGAAGCAAATATGTGTAGCTCAGAGTTGAACTGTGGAGTTCTTGGGGTTCTCTGAGCTTGGTTGTTTTCTTGCAAACGTTTCGTTACCCGGCTAGGAACATCTCCTCACCCGCAGTCATCACCCAGATAAGCAGAGATTAACACCAAGATTATCATCAGACATACAATCAAGCAGTAAACAATACTGTAATCAAGGAACTACCAGAGGAAAAAATAAAACAAAACAAAACCCCCACCCCCACCAACACTGGCAGGGCAGGCCACAGCACATAAATAGGGAGCAAACCCCATCCCATTTTAGCACTGAAGATGTTACCTAGCCGGGTAAT